GATTAACCTCCCAACTACTCGGCGGACACCACCACTTCCTCTCCCTCGTGCCCCTCTCCCCCACAAGCGTAACCTCCCCCCCTCCCCCGTCCAAGCACCTCCTCCACCACCCCCGCCCCAAAACTCCACTCCGACCCCTCGCTCTTACTCCCCTTGCTAACCAGCTTCTCAAACCGGCCCTCCAAGCCGGGGAACACATGCAGCAGCATGACCTTTATGCTCGGCGCGCACGCCACGATGATGGCGAGGTGGTTCTCAATCACGGCGCAGAGCATCGCCATGGCGAAGCGGTACGTAAAGTCGGGCCTGTGCGCCTGCTTGTAGACGAAGTATATGCGCGCGGCGCTGGCGGCGAGGACGAGCGTGCCGAGGAGGAAGAGCAGATTGACGGCGAGCCGCTGCGGGCGGCTGACGTGCAGTTTCCACGTGAAGACGAGCGGCATGGCGTACAGGACGATGTCGTTGGCCAGCATGAAGCAGCTGTTGAAGTAGTTGAAGTCGACCGTGTTGACGCAGCGCCGGCTGTATTCGGCGCCGCCCGGCGCGATGTGGATGTCTGTGATGGGCAGGCAGCGGATTAAAGTGAAGAGGATGCAGGTGAAGCCGAAGCTGAAGGCGACGAAGTGCATGGTGTAGATGCTGAGGCGCGGGTAGTGGTCGATGGTGAGGGTGGAGTAGAAGAGGAGGAGCGAGTGCTTGACCGCCCAATTGCACATGAAGTAGAAGATGCGGGAAGCGAGGCTGAGCTTGGGGAGGTGTTAGATTCTTACGGGAGATGAAGTGGGGGCTGTATTTTTTTTACCTTCATGCTTAGTTCCAGTTGTTCTAGTTGTGATTGCTGGAGTTGCTCGTCATGCAGGCCCAGGCCGTAGCGTGTGGAGATCATTTGTAGGGTAGAAAATATCGTGGCTGATAATGCAGCGACGGTGATGAGGGCTGTTTTGAGGTAAGTTTTTGTCTCTATAAGTGGTCCTTCAACTCACCATCATGCCAACTGAACGACCGAACAAGGAAAACCCGCCTGCAAATCCGACACGCAATCGCCGCCGAACTCAGCGCAATAAGCACCGCATTAGTCGCAATAATCGCCGTCTTGAGATTTCCCATCATTGGTTCAATTATAGTGTAATATACCATAGGTAGTAATGTTATCTCGTCCTCGGAGGCAAAGTTAGGAACGAGCGTCAAGCAAGATAACCCGCACGGATCCGTAGCTCCCAAGGGCGTGAAAGCATTTGCGATGGCGCCGACCTATATAACACCCAACTCACCGGGTCACAGCAGCTCGCTCATGACCGAACGCAGCATAGCATCGTCACACAACGCTTTCGCTGCCCCGCCACGGCGGCGTCGCACAAGTACCCTTTGGTGCTCCCGGATGGCACCGTCGGATACCGGGGGAATACAGAAAGTTGTGCGGTTTGCTGTTGCTGTGCGTGCAGGTGTCGGTGCTAAGCTGCATCGAGGAAAAAGTCGCATACCTGGGGTGATTTGGCGAGGGGTGGTGGAAGTCGTACTTGTCGACGTGTGGTTGTGGGCTACACAGAGATCATATCTGTATATATAGATGTTCGGGGGAAGAATATACTGCTCGCACGATGAGTTGTTCTTGCGATGTTCTGTTGTTTGATGGGTGCGATGTGTTTGCTAGCTATGTTGTGATGTCGTGAAGATGGCTGGTGGTTGCCAACACGATCGCGCATTGCATTCCTCAAGGGAGATCTGGATTGACCTGAGTCAGGCGATATCGGTCGGAGTGCACGTGCTGCCACAATGGAATCTACAGGGAAGTGCAGACGCCCGTGAAGGTTACGATAGCAGTCAGCAATGTTGGAGCGAAGTTCACCAGCATCAAGGACGATGCACTAAAGTCTAGTCTCGTGTGATTAGCATAGACGAATAGCATTTACTTCTTCGTTTGCTCCATCACAACCAAGTGGCTTGTGAGTGAGGCAGTAGAAGGTGCCCCCGGGCTTGGTGTAGCGGAATTCCCGATGTAACATACACCTAGGTCACACCAATGAACAACGCCACATTCGCCGTTTTCGGACTTGGAGTTACCACAAGGATCAAGTTCCAATTGAGCTTGCGGCTTCTCGAAGCCTGGAAGAAGTCGTGACGACACCCTTGTTTGCTTTGCGCTAGCCAGATGGATCCACGCAGGCATGTGATCCTGAGCCACCTATAAGTATCTTGATCTGCATCCGATCAAGACGACTTGGTATTCAAGCCATTTATGGCGAATGTCGGAAGAGAAGAATATCGTAGGTGGGGATACGTTACATGCCACCACACAGGTGCGCAAATTGAGAAGGCGCTGTAATTTTCTCGTCCACGTGCCAGAAAATTCGGATGCAATAGGTAGGTTCACATCGTCTCGGTAGGTGCTATGTGAAGAGTAGAACGTATATTCAACCTTACACCGACTTTCGAAGTGGAGCTGCTCATCGGATAACAGCAGCCGAAACTGTTAGCTGCGGAGAATAAGCCTCGCCGAGTAGTAGAGCCGCTCACACAGTTGGCATTGGGCGGGATCAGCACAGGCATAGAGGCAACGTATGAAAAAGGTCTGGATCCCATCCGAGATCCACGAAGAGGCAAACCACATAGTTGCTATATACCGCTTCTTCCTTCTGTCTTCAGAGTTGAGTCAAGGCCTGAAATCGAGATGTCGACACCCCAAGCGTGGTCCGGACCAGGTATCATCCTCAGCTTCTTCAAGCTGCTCGATTCTCCAACTATTTCGGAAGAAACTTTGGAAGACTGGTTTGGCCGAGAATATGCGCCAGCTCTCATAGCATCTGGTGTGGTGAAGAAGGCGTGGCTGTACCAGGCTGCGAATGCAGATTACGATAAGCAGCATCTCATCGTCTACAACGTGCCTGAGCTTGCCCAGGTACAGGCTGGAAAAATCCAAGAGGTTCCGAGGACAAGCAATTCGGGGCTTTTTGAGGGAACGGTAGATGACTACATCGAGATCGAAACGAGGATCTATTCATTCGTCCAGCTGTATGAGAAGTCCGCACATGGCGAAGGTATGTCTCAAAATCTTACTGATGGTCATTGAGTGGCTGCTGATTTCGCGTGCCACAGAAGCTGCACCTGTGATGATGCTGGCTATGGTGCAGCCTGCGCAAGGCGGAGAAGCAGACCTAGACGCATGGTATAAAGATGAGCACAATGAGCAAATGTCGAAGGAGCCTGGATATTGGAGGACGTCACGCTTCAGCCTCCTACATCAGCATTCGACCGGTAGCCAGCAAAACGAGAAGCTGTCATTCCTCGCTGTGCATGAATTCGGCGAGGAAAACGCGCTCGGTACGGAAGTTAAGCCACTAGATCCAATGACAGATTGGACCAAGAAGGTGATGGCAAGCGCGAAGGGTATTGATGCTGCGATCTACCACAAGCAGAGAGGGTTCGGAGATTCTTAAAGCGCCAAATAGCGGCACAGTACCTTTGTGAGCGAATGTCTTTTTGCAGATATAAATTTATAATATAAATCCTCGTTGCAGAATGCTGATGGATTGGATGCGTCGCATGCTAAGTTGTGGTAGTGTTTTTGTCTCCGGCCAGTTCCGCATTTATATGATGTCATAATTGCGAGCCTCAACGAAGATTCAGGAACCTCGTCAATACCATCACTTATACGCTCAATTCCTCGACAGAAATTTATCTCTATCTCTGATCCATAATACTCGCACACAACAAAAGGATGTCTGAATCATTGGCCGCATTTCGCTCCCACAGGAGCAACGATCTCAAGCAGCTAGCCGAAGAACATCTACAACATGAGTATGCAATCATCGCGCAGGTTCCTAAGAAAGATATGTGAAAGCTGACGCAGGGCAGTCTTAACCCAACAAGATCGTGACTTGCTGAAGAGCGCAGGCGGCAAGGTTTCTACACACGCGGGTATCGCCTCCCTTGCTGGACTCGGCCTCGGTGTCTACTTTGCCTTCCGACTTCGCGCAATGCGTCTCGCATACTTCAACGCCTTCAGGGCAATGGAGAAGCCCGTGGAAGTTCGATTTGCAGATGGCCGTACAGGTAAGTCAGCCCTTGTTCTCGGTCACGGTTCTCGCCGTTTCTGACTGTCAACTGCAGAACCCATTCCCGACATTTCAGCAAAGTTATCAGGTCCTTCTCGATGGGGCGATGCCGCAACTTACTTCCTCTTCTCCGTTAGTGGTCTCTTCTTGGGTGGTGAGATCGGTCTTTTGACAGGAACTGCATCTGCATCGCGGACTATCACGAAGGATCCTGAAGCAAAGGCCAGAATCGAAAAGGCTTTTAAGAACTACAGGATAGACGTGTTGAAGCGCGAGATTGACCAGCTTCAAGGAAAGAGCAAGTTTGAGGAGTTCTTCAGCGGCTAATTTTGTGGGTTTGTTACGAACATGAATAATTGTGGATTCTGGAGGCATCGAGATCTTGTGAATATCTTCATTGATTTAACGTGGAAAAGCCGGTGTAGAATAAATCGACGCGCAACAGAGTGTGAATGATGGATTTTTATTGCGCCCAGCCGGCTCCCAATCCCCGCACGACACGAAGACCATCCAGATCATGTACTTACGTGTGCCAAATCCACACTATAGGGACCGTCGCATGGCTCCTGGCGATCGTT